TTTTGGTAAATGTGAGCCAAAATCATCACAATTAAAAGAACCAAAGACTTAAACTACTTCAGTCTGTGTGCATTGAATTTATTTAATACACAAGTTTCACAATATGAGTTGAATTACTGAAATAAATGAATTTTTCCACGACATTCTAATTTATTGAGATGCACCTGTATATACAGCACATATTCAGACCCTAAAGGTGCTCCACTAACCTCTCTGAGGAGTTTCTGTCGTTTACTGCTCCTGCTTTCACGGCTTTTCTTTGCTTTCTTCTTCTTTTTGGATTTGGGAGTTTCTGCCTCCGATATTGGTTCATCGGCATCATCTGGCCAAAACACAGACACACAGCATGCATCAAACATGAACAATTAAAGCTAAACAAAATCTAAATTTAGATTTTCTGTCATTCCTATCCTTCCTGAACTGATACAGTACTTTTAATTCAACTTTATGACCCTTACGTCTTGAATACAATAACTAAAGGTAATATAGCACATTCATTTAGATTTTTCTTTAAGAGCTTAAAGCCTTCAGAATACATTATTTTTTGTGCATTCCTGCCTCAAGATGTGAGTCTACTGTCCAAATATGTCAGCAGCATTGAAACTAGGGCATAAGGCTCTTGCTTTTGAAATCATTCATTTATTATAAGCTCTCTGCTGATAGGCTGCGCTACCAACGCCATTACGAGGGCGGCCAGAAGAGGAAAGCAAAACAAATGGGTTTGACACACTATGCTAAACGCACGGTATGATCGCTGGGGTAGAAAACCAAGCATTTTTCGCTCTTAAGATACTAAGGAGTCAGTAACAAATAGATGTATCTTTCATTTTAACATCTGCTGCTGACCAGTGATACAGGAAGTGATTTGACTTTTGTATACAGGTGCTTGCCGCTACTGCATCATAATTCATAAACTAAACATTTGGCTTTATATAGCCGTATGGTGCAGTAACACGTGGCTCACCAGCAGTTCTCCTTACAAAAATGACGATTTGTTTAGAAGTACTCTTACATGTCAGCAGGTAATTAGCTTATTTAGGCTCATTTGGGGAGGTTATATAACATGATGTGGTTAATGAGAGTCCTAACAGGACAGCTAAACCTTACCATCTCTCGTGGGTCCAAAATGGTCCCTGTCGTCTTCACTCCCCGACATATTCCCGTCCGGACGCTTGATAAAATAGAAATGACAACAATATTTTGATTTGGTTTTTAGCAGCACCCCATGCTGCCAGAAAGAGATAAACAAGTGACAGGGGAAGCTAATTGTGTTAAGATTAATTAAAATCAATTAACGCTTGTGGCATTTCATAACTACAACATCATACAGCGTGTAGTGTTAAAATGAGTTTGACGTAGTCGTGTCATTTCGGGGTTTTTTTCGTAAACTTTCTCGCTCGATCCGAACGAAAGACGCCTCAACTTAGCTGTCAATCAAGTTAGCAAAGCTAGCAAACATAGTCAAGTGATCGGGCTGCAGGGAAAATGGCAGCCGGCTGGATGAGTTGAGTTAAATCGCTTATCTGCCTTCGTTTCTGGTTAGATTCGTGTCTTTAAAACTTTCCTCCATGAAAAAAATAAACACGCGGAGGTCGCTAAGCCCCCGACAAACACCACACGGCGCTTTATAACGCGGTGTCTCATAGTTGTAAGTTACCAGTAATTATAGATATGTTTGTTTATTTTCTGTTTCATGCTTTTAAAAACTCGCCGAGAAACGCACATTTATTTGTATGCACATATTATTTTTAACGCAGGCGGTTGGAGGTGGGTGGGAGGAATTGACTTACAGGTCAGTCCAAGGTGTAGATAGTCGGCGGTATGATCAGCTTTAGTCTGACGCGAAAGCTGCAGGTTACTACCTATCACCGAAAAACTGGAGTCCCAAAGCCTTAGAAATGGCTTTATAATCCTTTCCAGACTGATACATGTCAACTGTTTTGATTCTCATCTGTTCTTGAATTTCTTTAGATCACGGCATGATTTGTTGCTATTTAAGCATGCTTCACTTTGTCAGACTGGTTCTATTTAAGTTATTTCTTGATTCAACAGGTCTGGCAGTAATCAGGCCTGTGTGTGGCTAGTGAAATTTAACTCCGCTTTCTAAAATAATGTGGTTAATTGCAGTTCTTTCATGATTTAACAGGAGGGGGCAATTAATTTTTCACGTAGGGCCAGGTAGGTTTGGACAGCTTTTTTCCCTTAATAAATGAAATCATCATTTAAAACCTGAATTTTGTATTTACTTGCATTATCTTTGTGTAATATTAAAATTTGTTTGATGATCTGAATCTTTTAAGTGTGACAAATATGCAAAAAATAAACAAAACAGGAAGGGGGCAAAAACCTTTTCACGGCACTGTATGTGTGTGTAGTAACTGATTACATGTAATCTAGATTATGTAATCAGATTCCAAAAATTATATACTTGTAAATTATATTTAAAAAAATGCTCATAATCAGATTAGTTATTTTTTATGAATTATATCATTACATATTATTCACACAATGGCAGAAAATTATTCATAATTTATTGATTCTCCCTACTTCTTTTTTCTCTTTAAAATTTTTCCTCTGTAAAAATCTTACTGTCAAACCATTTAGCTTGGACTATATTCACACATGTTATGTGCATATATTTACAAACCTTGCTTCTGAATTTAAGGAGGAAAAAAAGCATCTCTCAAGCTATTAGACCTTGTATGAAACAAATAATTATGCAAGTTACTGGTGTTGTATAACCGTGAAACACTATGTCTTCATCATATCCAGTGAGCTTCTGGAAGTCTGGACAAAAATATTTCAAACCTTCAGACTTTGGGCGTGTTCTCTTTGGCTTGTTTAATAGTTAGTTTAAAACAGAAAGTTTGATTTAAAAAAGTAATCTAAAAAAGTAGTCAGACTACATTACAAAAAACAGTAATCTAGATTATGTTACAGTTTTCATCATGTAATCTGTAATCAGTAATGGACTACAATTTGTAAGTAATCTACTCAGCTCTTTGTGTATAATTACATGTACAATTATCATATACATATAATTATGTCATTAATTACAAGAATCATGACCTTATGGCCTGGCTAATGAAGGGCTTCTTTAAAGGACCCTAAAGGTTAAGCAGAAGGTCACTGTATTCACTGGGCATGTTTGTTCATTCAGATCTTATATGTGAGAAACTGCAGTCTAATGAATGCTACAAATGAGTCTTTTCCCTTTGTCTTTGATAAGCAGCAGAGGAGAGATATCTCTAGGCTTATTTTTTTATTGTACTGTCCTTTGAATACTATGTCCTATCCACCTTAGACAAAAGTCTTTGTTTTTCACATCATGGTGCATCTCTCCTGTACAGCAGCAGAAAGTGCTTGAGGTGCATGTCCCCCCAACACACACACACACACACACATACTTATGCACACCCTTCTGCTTAAAGTAGATCAGTCACCATGGTGATTGGGGGGGGGGGGCTGCTTAGGGGTAGCTCAGTCACCAATCATGGCAGACTGTTAAGGGAGGGGGGGGAACGGGGGGTTCACCCTGCAGGCCCCAGCCCCCACCACCACACTCACCCCTATCCCATAATATTCTCCTGAAGATCAGAGGAATGTAAAAGAGCTGGAGCCCCGGGTTGCTGTGGGGGGGGGGGGGGCTGCTTAGGTGTAGCTCAGTCACCAATCATGGCAGACTGTTAAGGGAGGTGGGGGAACGGGGGATTCACCCTGCAGGCCCCAGCCCCCACCACCACACTCACTCCTATCCCATAATATTCTCCTGAAGATCAGAGGAATGTTGACACTGCGGACGCAGTTAAAACGAAGCATCTGTCTGCATGTGGTACTATAAATGCTTGTTCCAGGTGATAACCAGTACCAATCCTGCAACAAGCACAAATATTCTAGCATCACCTTCCTCTCAATAAAGGAGCAGTGAGGACATCCAGTGGCGAGATGGATGGATGAGACGGTGAACTGCATCACTCACAAACAAAGAACATGAACATTTCACTTTAGGTCCTGCAGATGAGTTACTGCCATCTTAATTTAAAATCAACAAGACTCAGCAATGCTTTACAGAAAGTCATTCCGGCATTCATTCAATTCTTACAGAACACTTACTGAATGTGTGTAGTTTATGGAATATTGGGTTGGATGAGAGGGATTGCCAGATTGGAGGGCTGTCATTTCTATGCCATAATATTCTCTCAGTGGTCTGCAGTAACCCAGTGCAAGCGTTCCAGAATGAGGTCAACAAGCCATCCAATAATAGTCACTGTGTGCTGTCATGTTGTGTTCTGATGCATGTTCTAACAGCACACACACACACACAGACATATAAGTGAATTTGTATGTACTTTGTGTGTGTGTGTGTGTGTGTGTGTGTGTGTGTGTTTGTTTACATTTATATAACATTTAGTCATTTAGCAGACACTTTTATCCAAAGTGACTTACAAATGAGGACAATAGAAGCAATCAAAACCAACAAAAGAGGAATAAAATGCTAGTGCTATGACAAGTCTCGGTTAGCCAATACACGTAGCAAGTTGTTGTTGTTTTTTTATACATATATATATATATATATATATATACACACACACACAACACACATCCATATATATAATAAAATATGTATAATTTGTGCATATATAATATATATGTATTTGCAAATTTACAAATTTACAAATGATATATTTAATTTTAATTCAAAATTAATACACAAATAAATAATAGTAATAATAAGAATAATATATGAATACATAATATGATATAATGAATTATATGATTATATTTATAATTATATTTACTGATGAAAAATAATTAATTATTAAAATTATTTATATTACATTATTATTAAATTATTAATTATTAAATATACAAACTTATTTAAAAACACAAATATGTAGATTAATTGAAATATTATTTGTTTAAACATTTATAGAAATAAATGAATTTGTAATATATACACACACAGATACAGTATATATATATATATATATGCACACACACACATGCACACACAGATTATGTATACAAATTAATTGTACAATATTAACATTAAAATATATTGATTAATGTTTAATATTATTGAATTATTTAAAAAATACACACACAGGCCTATATATTTATAATAAAATAATAACATTTAATATTCTCAAACAATGCAATTGACAGTCCAGCACAGGTGTCCACCTGAACCCATGTTAAATCACACAAAACAGCCACAATTAGCCACAGTGACACCTCAAATGAGAGTGTAAAACAGATTCCGACAGATGGGACACTTGGTTTAAAAAGAAGAGATTTTATTTACGAGCAAGGGCTGAGCGGATGGAGAGATGAGGAGAAGAGAGGCGCCGGACATGACATGGGGGTGCAGGTCGCCATGGCGTTGCTGGGGGAGACGGTGCAAGACGTCACTGCGAGGGACAGCAGGACACAAAGAGAGAATACGACGAGGAGAGGGGTGAAACAGTGCAAGGGAGGGGAGAGATAGGGGGCACTGCTCAAATGGAGAGAAAGGCAGTGAATCTGTAAGGGGGCACAGTTATTTATTTGCTTGCTGAGGTGCAGGAGAGTTCAGCAGTAAAACAGACCTAGAGGTGTATTTAAGTAAATAAATGGTTCTGTAACATTTTCACAAGATCTACAACTATAGAGATATATCTAAGAAATTTAATTATGTGTAGTTTATGTAATTATGTTAGGTCTGAAATCTTTGAATATTTAGGACAACAATAAAAATGTATTGTTGAAGATAAAAAAGCAGTTTTATAAAAAATATTTGTAAAAAATGCAAAATGGCATTTGTTTTAAAGAAATGTATAAATTATGTTTGTAAGGTTTAAAATAATTTAAAGAGAAAGAGAGAGAGAGATTGTTAAAAAAAAGTAGACAAAAAATATTTAGACACTTTCTGTTAATTGATGTCAAATGTTAGTACAAATGTCCAGTTATCTGTGTATAAGTAATTGCTCAGAATATTTCTGGTTGTTTTTAGATGCCACCTTATTTAATAATTTGTTTTTAAAATGTGGCTTAAAGGGATAGTTCATTTACTCACCCTCAAGTTACCAAAATCCTGTATGAGTTTCCTTCTTCTGTACAAAAGAAGATATTTTGAAGAATGTTGGTATCAGTTGATGGTAACCATTGACTTCCATACGGAAAAAAACTGCTCAAAGGTTACCGTCAATTGTTTGATTAGCATTCTTCAAAATATTTTCTTTTGTGTTCAACAGAAGAAAGAAACCTATACAGGTTTGGAACAAGTGGAAGATGAGTAAATGATGGCAGAATTTTCATTTTTGGGTGAACTTTCCCTTTAAATGCCCAAGTACTTTTTGAGGGCCATAATAGATCTATGAAATCCAAGATCTTGTCCTAATGCTTTCTCTCTCTCTCTCTCTCTCTCTCTCTCTCTCTCTATCTGGTGATTTATTTGCCTCAGTTCTAATATTTGTCAGCACTGTGTTTTCTCCTCCTTGTCTAAATGTCATCCCTTCTTCGAAGACAATATGGAGAGAGAGAAAAAGAGGGAGCAGGGCAGAGGGAGGAAAGAAAAGGGGGAGGGGGGACACTCGTAAAAAGAGCAACAAAAGTTTGGGAAAATTAAACATTAGGTAAGACACGTTCACACAAGCCCGTTTCAGGACATATCTGAGCACCCTTCCCCTGCTGTTCTATCTATCAGGTTATTTATTGTTACGGCACATATTTCTCCGTCAATTTCCGCTGGCTTTCAAGCGCAACTCTTTTGTGAGAGTCTCAGGATTTAAGGGCAACATATTCTGATGCAGCCTTCACTGATACTAGGTAACAGATGCTCAAGTCACATGAATTGACAAAAGGAATTCCCTCTCTCTCTCTCTCTCTCTCA